CTGGGTAGAGTGCTATGGCATCACAGCTCACAGCAACCTCCAACTCCTGGGCTCAAGTGATTCTCCTGCCTCTGCCTCCCAAGTAGCTGGGACCACAGGTGCCTGCCACAATGCCCGGCTATTTTTTTTGGTTGCAGCCATCATTGTTGTTTGGCAGGCCCAGGCTGGATTCAAACCCACCACCTTAGGTGTATGTGACTGGTGCCTTAGCCACTTAAGCCACAGGCGTTGAGCCGTTTTCTATTTTTTGTAGAGATAGGGTCTCCCTCTTTCTCACGCTGGTTTTTTGAACTCTTTTTTTTTTCTTGAGACAGAGTCTCAAGCTGTCACCCTGGGTAAAGTGCTGTGGCATCACAGCTCACAGCAACCTCAAACTCTTGGGCTTAACCGATTCTCTTGCCTTAGCCTCCCAAGTAACTGGGACTACAGGTCCCCTCTACAATGCCTGGCTATTTTTTTTTTTTTTTTGGTTGCTGTTGTCATTGTTGTTTAGCTGGCCTGGGCTGGGTTCAAACCCACCACTCTTGGTGTATGTGGCCAGTGCCCTACCACTGAGCTACAGGCACCACCTGATTTTGAACTCTTGATCTCAAGCAATCCTCCTTCCTTGGCCTCCCAGAATGCTGGGATTATAGGCATAAGCCACCACTCCTAGCCTCATTTTTTAAAAAATTTCTAATGAAAAAGAATAATAAAAGAGGGCCAGGCACGGTGGCTCATGCTGTAATCCTAGCACTCTGGGAGGCCAAGGCGGGTGGATTGCCTGAGCTCATGGGTTTGAGACCAGCCTGAGCAAGAGGGAGACCTCATCTCTAAAAATAGCCAGGTGATGGGCAGTGCCTGTGGTTCAAAGGAGTAGGGTGCCCACCAGAGGTGGCGGGTTCAAACCCAGCCCCAGCCAAACACTGCAAAAAAAAAAAAAAAATAGCCAGGCATTGTGGGGGGTGCCTGTAGTCCCAGCTACTCAGGAGGGCAAGAGAATCGCTTGAGCCCAAAAGTTTGTGAGCTATGTCATAGCTGACAAGTGCTATGACGCCATGGCACTCTACTAAGGGCAACCAAGTGAGACTTGGTCTCAAAAAAAAAGATATAAGACCTAAATAGGAATACTAAATATTAAAATGTCTGTTACAAGGTTGGGCACAGTGGCTCACACCTACACTCCTAGCACTCTGGGAGGCTGAGGCAGGTGGATTGCTTGAGCTCCGGAGTTCAAGATCAGCCTAAGACCAGCAAGACCCTATCTCCACTAAACATAGAAAAAAAACGCCAGGCGCTAGTGGCTCATGCCTGTCATCCTGGCACTCTGGGAAGCCGAGATGGGTGGATTGCCTGAGCTCAAGAGTTGGAGACCAGCCTGAGCAAGAGGGAGACCCTGTCTCTAAAAAATAGCCAGGTGTGAGCCGCGCCCGTGGCTCAGTGAATAGGGTGCTGGCCCCATATACCGATGGTGGCGGGTTCAAACCCAGCCCCGGCCAAACTGCAACAAAAAAATAGCTGGGTGTTGTAGTGGGCCTCTGTAGTCCCAGCTGTTCAGGAGGCTGAGGCAAGAGAATTACCTAAGCCCAAGGAGTTGGAGGTTGCTGTGAGCTGTGGTGCCATGGCAACTCTACTAAGGGTTAATAAGTGAAACTGTCTCATAAAAAAAAAAAAAAAAAAAACAGGCT